CGGACGCTCGGGCGGGCGATGGGGCAGCCCCACCCCGCCCACCCACTGCTGGCCTAGGCTGGCTGGGTCCCCGTCCCCAAAACAGTCCCACCCCGGCACCTTCCAGTCCCTGCGCTCAACTAGATTCACCACCAACCATGAGCCAGGCCACACGCCTCAACCCCACTCCCCCTGCTTGCCTCCTCCCCACCGTCACTGCCCCCTCAATGCTTAATTGTGTATTTTTATACTCATAAACTTAGGCCAGTGGCCTTCACATTGGAGCACATCTCGGGGTACACAGAGACGGCGCAGGGCACGTGGGCACAGGGAACATGGGAGACAGGATTTCCAGATCTCCATTTCCCAAGTGTGTTACTCCTCAAAGCAGACCCGTGACATGAGGCTGTCCTGTCTGCTAGCCTTTCATGGGGGCTTTTTTCCCACTCGAATAAAAGCACCACCAAATCATCTTAATCATCTGCACTACACTGTCCCCACAATGTAAGGATAATTATCCAGTTTGAAATATGGATGTTGATATGGTGTAGTTAGTAAGTCTGATGAGCAGTAAATACTTTTGCAGATTAGGTGATTTCCATTTTTGTGCTTTTAGCAAAACTGAAGGGGGACCTAATGACATAGTTATCTGAACTTATAGTAAGAGTAGTAATGTATATTATCATTATCATTATATATTAATTATTTCTAAAATCACATAGCTATCACCAAAATAAAAAGGTATAATAGTAATAGTTTATTACTTTATAAATAATACTTTATTATTGTTTTTTTTTGATGATAGGTCACTATGTGATTTTTTTCATCTCTGTCTTGGATGGGATATAGAAGAATTCTGTTACATTGCTATAAAATATCTCATTCTTGCCCTCTCTAGTTTTTATAAAAATCAGCTTTCTTAGCACCTATGTCTTTAAAAAGGAACACTGAAATACAATTTGATGTTGAACTACATCATTCCAGAAACGAGAAATAGTCATCCTGTGTGTGAACTAATTCTTAAAAAGTCTTGCCTATATATTCGGATGCATTTCAAATAAAATTTTACTTTCATGTTTAGTAAATTAACAAATTCATAATATATTTCATGTTTTGATCAATGAAATGAAACTCAATCTAAGTAATTAATATAGGATTGTATTATTTAAAATTTAAAAATAAACTTAAGCACAATTTTTGTCGTAGAAACCTACCTAAAGATATAATATTAATACATGAGTAAAAATATTTGGGACAAATGGAATGTATGGTTTGAAGTTTAAAAATGAACAGTATGTAATCTCTGACTATTAAAAACATGCTCACTGATTTTCTTTAATGAATGATGGTGAGTTCAAATCACTATCACCTAAGATCTATTTAGTCAGAAAAGGAGAAATATGATTAAGTAATTGATAATGAAATATGCTGAACATTATACCTTAAGCTTATATTCAACAATTTTAGGTATCAATTAAAAATATACTAGTGAGTATTGCTTAAAAATTATCTTAGCTGTTAAGCAAGCAAGGATGTTTGAAAATCACTGGCTCGGGGATTGCAGGGTTTTTTATTTGGGTGTTTTATAATCACTTCTGGAAAAAGATATGCAGATGTGCTTCTTGATGTGAAAATTTGAATTTCATCTCTGTTTTGAGAGAAGGGATCCAGAAAGCACAGCAGTGAGAACAGCCATAAAAGCCTGGGAGAGATAAGTGACGCTGCTGTAATGGCACGTGCGCCGGGGCTGGAGGCCTCAAAAGCAGTGACTGGAGAGCATGGTGTTTACATTAAGTCTTTAATGATACAATCAGGGGCATAAGCATCCACTTTTATCAAATAACTATAAATTATGGAAACTATCATGACTATTTTATTAAAATGGGGAAAACTGAATAATATTATTGTGAGCTGGTGTTGAGATGAGTTAAGGCTGTGGGACCCAAGGCCACGACTACAGAGCATGTTTGTAGTATGCAGTAAATAATTGCTCCATGTATGCATCAATTATATAAGATTTAGAACAAAGAAAGTAGAAGTATGCATGTGCTAGAGATATTCTGTAAGCCTAAAGAGCAAAGAAATTCAGACCACGCATGTGCTGACAGAAAACAGATAAAACAGGACCGGTGCATCATAGGCGCGCACCTCCCTGTGGCAATAAAGTGTTGTTAACCCCATGGTGTCTCTGGCTGAAGTCTGTCCAGCAGTATGGCAACTCCTCGTGCATTTTTTCATTTGGGCCACTCACCTCCTAGAACCCCACATCAGCCTCCCTCGGCTGACACTTGGCGTAGTCGGCAGGATGAGGTGAGTGCCCCTACTGAAACCCCTGCCCCTGACGGGGATGCTCTGATGGAAGCAAAGTGGCCCCCTACCTCTGTATGGTACCCGGTGGCAGCCTATTTGCTGACGTGGGCTCAACCTGAGGATTGGGATACAGTGGCGCGCCGGCCAGATGACGTCCGGAGGGCATTGGAGCTGTTAGAAAATAATGTCCCATTAGCCCACCGAGAGGCAGCCGGGAGGGTGGCCTAGATGTTCTTATCTGTTTTACGGCATGCTAGCCAAGACATGAGAGATTTACAGATGCAAGTGGAGGAGTTGCAGTGCAAAGAAGAGGAGCTTAAGCAGAGACCCAGCA